ACCGATGCCAGCCTCCTGGGTTGGGGTTCCCATATGCAGGGCCGGATAGCTCAGGGCGTTTGGTCCAGGTCAGAGCAGAGCCTTCCCATAAATTGACTAGAGCTCAGAGCCATTTTTCTAGCTCTCAAGCATTTCAGGCACTCAGTGACCTGTTCTCATGTTCTAGTCCTTCGGACAACATGGCCGCAATGGCTCATGTCAACCGACAAGGGGGGACAAGGTCCAGAGCCCTCTTGGGAGAGACTCTACAGTTGGGGTTATAGGCAGAGAAACACCTGTTATTGATCTCAGCAGACCACATCTCTGGGGTTGACAACTCCCAGGCCGACTGGCTCAGCAGGAGCCTAGTCAACCAAGCAGAATGGTCCATTCCTCCGTCTCTATTCAGGGACCTTTCCCTAAGATTCGGTACGCTGGAGGTGGATCTCCTCTCCACTCCTCAAAATGCCCAGGTCACCAGATTCTTCAATAGGTTTCCCTGTCAGGGAGCGGAGGGGCCCAATACTCTTCGGTGCAGATGGCCCAAAGGTCTCCTCTACGCATTTCCCCCGCTTCCCATCATTCTGGCAGTAATTTGGAAGATGTTGGAGGAATGAGCGGAGCTCCTCCTCCTGGCTTCCTATTGGCCAAGGAGGCCCTGGTTTGCGGACCTGGTCAACTTATCGGTGGCTTCTCCTTGGAGGATCCCAGCCCATCTAATCTCCCTTCATCAGGGGATTCTGCTCCATCCAGAGCCCCAGTGGCTCAAGCTGACCATGTGGCACTTGAGTGGCAGCAGCTAGAGGAGGCTGATCTTCAGGAAAGGGTCATCATCACTATCCTGGCATCTCACAAACCTTCTACAAGGTGCATCTAGGGAGGATTTCTCTCCTGCTTCAGCCGAGTTGGCTGAGGTTCTTAGACTCCTTCAGCATGATCTGGAGAAAGGTTTGGCCCCCAACACCTTATGCAGGCAGGTTGAGGCCCTCTCCTCAGTTCTTTCATGGGGTTCGCTTCCTTCCTTATCCCATCACCCTTCAGTCAGGAGGTTTTTGAAAGGGGCTTCCAACCTGCACCCACCAGTGGTTCAAAGGTATCCTTCCTGGGATCTTTATGTGGTCCTTAATGCCCTTACGAAGCCCCCCTTTTGAACCCCTTAGAACAGTGTCTCTCCATTTCCTGACTCTGAAGGTAGTGTTCCTTGTTTCCATCACTTCAGCCAGGTGGGTATCCGAGCTCTCTGCTCTTTCTATCAGACAGGACCTTTGTTCCTTTCACGATGGGTTGTTCTCCATCTGGACCCCTCATTTATTCCAAAGGTTAACACCTGGTTTCACAGGTCCCAGGACATTGTGTTGCCTGGCTTCTGTCCCCTCCCGCACCATGACTTAGAGCGATAGTGGCACATGTTAGACGTAAGAAGGGCTCTTAGAATATACATTAAGCGCACTTCCTCCTTCAGGAAGTCGGAAGCCATGTTTGTTTCCTTTTCCCTTCTCACTTGAGGCACAAGGCCTCTTCTCCTACTATTAGCAGATGGGTCAGATCTTGCATTGAGCAGGCCTACAAAGCTGCTGCCCTTCTGGTTCCTCAAGATCTGATGGCGCACTCTACCAGAAGCGCGGCCACTTCTGCTGCCTGGGCGACCCAAGCACCCTTGGAGAAGATCTGTCGTGCGGCCACGTGGACTTCCCCTTCTCCTTTTATCAGACACTACTGTCTGGATACCTTTGCCTTGGCAACTGCAGCCTTCGGCAGACGGGTGCTTCAACAGTCAGTGTGATGAGCCGGACGAGGACCCGCCCGTGGACATGCAAGCTTTGGTATGTCCCATCCTGGACTCTCGATGCAGCATGGAGGAGAATGGGCGTTGGCAGAAGTTACCCTGAACGCCCTTTCTATCTATGCTGCAAGAGAGCCCAGCCCCTCCCTTGATTCGTCCGGAGAGGGTAAGTCATATTTCTGTATTCATTTTGTGCTTTCAGAGACACCTTTCAGTCTGTCAAGTAACTTCGCCAAAGCCGGGGTCTCTCCCGGGGGTTGGCTTTTATATCTTAGTACAGACTCAGCTAAGTGACGTCATAGGAAGGAGTCAACCCATCCTGGGCTCTCTCGCAGCATAGATAGAAAGGGCGTTCAGGGTAACTTCTACCAACGCCCATTCTCCTTCTATCCCCTCATCTAGATCATTTAGGAAGATGCTAAAGCGTACTGGGCCTAAGATTGAACTTTGCAATACCCTACTGCATGCTTCCCTAGGTTTAATTTCATTGAGAACTACTTCTCGTTGGTCAACTAATTGCAGATCTGTCTGGTAGTGATAGTCTATCACTAATAGTCTATCAGATAGTCTATCACAAATCTTACCAAAAAGTAGGCCTTGGTCTACTTTGTCAAATGCCTTACTAAAGTCTAAGTAAACGGTGTTTACAGTATTTCCCTGATCTATTAATTTAGTCACTTTATCAAAAATGCTGTAAGGTTTGTCTGCCATGATCTTTTTTATTATTATAATTTTTTATTATACAATTTTCTTGGTTATGTATAAAATTTCTATATTCACAATAACAGTATTCCGTCTGAGTACAATCTCTACTAAGTACAGATAATAAATCTTACATACACAATAATTATAACTATTATTCTCAATACCTATTCACCATCATCTTCCCTTATCCTTATTAAAATTTTTGGGTTATTTAATTAAGCCCTCTGTTCAATTTTATCTATAATCAATTGATAGTATTGAACATTATAGACATTATAGACATTATAGTCATATAAACACCACATTTATAACCATTAGCCTAATCATAAGTTTTACTTATCTTAATTATTCAATGTTCATTATTCAATTACACAAATTACTTCATTTTGTTTACATACCCAAATTTCTAACTTATGCTACTTTCTCACTTTTAATAAAATAGTTCCCAAACTAAAAAAGAAATATTTTCTCCATTTCTAGCTTGTATCTTTATACTAATTCTTAATAGTACAAGTCCTGTGTTAAATAGTACTCTGCATTTATCCCTCATCTCTTGCCTGTTTCCGTATCTCAGCTCTTATTGACTTATTGGCACATCTCTCATACGCCTCCCTTGGGATCTTGTATCTTCTTGTCTCATTCATGTTTGATCTTCTATTCTTCTATCCCTGCTGCTGCTTCACTCTTTTGAGCCTTCAATACACATTTCAATAAGTTTTTCCTCACTTCAGGGGTACCTTTCTGTGTATCCCCTTCTAATATTTGATCTCTTAAAGTGTAATTTACCATTTCTATTTCAGCTTTTACTATCTCTTCTTTGCCATGATTTAGTTTTGACAAACCCAGTTTATTTCTACTAATAGCTTTGCTTGTTTATAGATGCTTGCAGATCCGTTCCTTGGTTATCTTTTCTAGGATTTTCGGAGGTATTGATGTAAGGCTGATTGGTCTGTAGTTTCCTAGATTCACATTTTTCTCCTTGCAGATCAGAACCACACTCGCTCTTGCTCAGTTCTCTGGTGGTTCCCCAGTACTCCAGAATCTTTGAAAGATATGGTTCAAAAACACACATTAAACTTTAAAGCATGATAACATTGCAGACTGTATAGTTATTTGTCACTTTATAAGAAGATCAGGAAGTCTTGAATGACAAATTAAATAAGTAAAACTTACATAAAGTAATGAGAACTCCCCAATGCATGATCTGAAATTTATAGCTCAGTCTTTGAAGATAAAATGAAGAAAATAATATCTAGTTTTACTGTTATGCAGAATGAGGTAGATGAAGTTTACTTTGTGATCATTTTGCTTTTGGGTGTCATGAAAGAACTGAAAATTATTTTAAACTGTATTTATTTATGAATTTTTTACTTGTAGAATGTAGCTGTTATGGAAAATTTTGTCTCATACACCAAAATAATTAGGCTAATTTTGATGACAGTTATGCATTTTGAGTTGGGGAATGCCATTTGCTACTTTGCCTTAGGAAAAATTGATTGTAACTAGCCACTGAGGAAAAGGGTTGTTTTCAAACCTCGTATGGGTCATTGAATAGTGTTCCTCTTCTTTTTGTAATGTCTTTAGATATAAATATCAAATAACAAAACTGAACCCATTGAACTCAGTCAGCTCTTATGTGTACTCCAAGTATACTGTATAATAAGGAGGACTAAATTCTATATATAGCAAAGAATAGGAGTTCAGAAAAATGTTTTATAAAGAGGTAGTCCTTGACTTATGATGGCAATTGGGACCAGAATTTCTGTTGTTAGGTGATGCAGTCATTAAGTGTAATTGCATTACTTGGTGACAGCAATCCTTGAAGTCCTGGTTGCCTTTGTTAAACAAATCTTATGGTCATTAGGTGAGGCAACTTCCTGATGGCTTCCTATATCCAGGTCAGTGGGGAAGTCAGCAGAAAATTGCAAGTGTCAGTTACTTGCAAACAAAGTGTCCACTGACAGGTAGGGGAAGGTGGAAGGAGTGTACAGGGCTGTCCAGTCTATTTTTGAAAATCACCAGTGATGGAGAACTTATAATCCTGAAGGCAAGCATTGTTTAACAGTTTAAGAGAAAAGTTCTACTTCTAGGTTCTAGGAAACTCTTTAACAAGATTTCACCCATTACTTCTAGTCCTGCCCTCAGGTGCTTTGGAGAATAAGTCAACCCCCTCCTCCCTGTGATAAGTCAACCCCCTCCTCCCTCAAGTATTGGAAGACAGTCCCCTCTAATCCATCTCTTTGACAGGCCAGACCTACTTAGCTCCCTCAACTGTTCATCATATGCCTTAGCCTCCAACCCTTTATCATCTTGCTCTTGCTTTTCTGTGCCTACTTTGTAGGGTCTTCGCATCTTTTTTTTTCGTGTATGTAAACAACTTGGGAGATTATTTCCAAGATATTAGTACCAAGCAGGATGGTTTAACCTGCTTCTGGAGACTTAATAATATTGTTACCTTTGGGTGGGACAATTAATTGGTTTGAAAATGTTGAATTAGCTATTTGATTATTGATTATCTTCTCCTTCTCCTCAGGTATTATTGTAATGTATGTGACTGTGTAGTGAAAGATTCCATCAACTTCCTTGATCATATCAATGGCAAAAAACGTATGTATAACATGTTTTTCATGTACTATTTTGATATTATTATTGTTGTTTTGTTGTTATTATTAATCATCGCACAGTCAGCCAGATATTCAGCCTGGGTGTAGTCTTTTTGGTCTACCTATTGAGTCCTTACCAAGGACCTGGGATAGGTAGATGTAGATGTTTGAAGGTGTTACAGATATTGTCACAGGATGGAAGCTGTTCCCAGTAAAGCCACCTTTGCAATGGACTGATGGCGAATATGTCAATGCCAATGGTGTTCAAGTAGTCCACTATCCAGACTTTTTTGATCGACAGTTGTTAAGTCTGGGGTGTTATGTGGAAAGCGCCTATCTGCTTGAATTCTAAAGTCTCAGAGCAATTTAACCTCTTCATTTTCTATGACTTTCTCTATTTTATGGTCCCACCAGTTCTTGCTTGCGGGAAAATGATATTTCTTGCAGATCTTGCAGTGCACCATTGTTGCTACTTTGTCATGCCACTGCTTGAATCTGTGCAATCTTCTTATAGCAGCTTACCAGGTGGTCTACTATTTCTTCAGCTTCTTTGTATAGGTGGCACTTGTTGTCTGTTGCTGTCTTCTCAATTATGGCTTTGTATGCATTGGTCCTTAAAGCTTGGTCTTGTGCAGCCAGAATTAGTCTTTTGATCTCTTTCTTCAAAGTTCCTGCTCTTAACCTTTGCCAGGTCTTGTTATTATTTGCTTTCCCTGCTATTTTTTTTATCTACTGGCCATATAGTGCTTTGTTTTCCCATGGCTCCATTCTGTTCTTCATTTGATCTTTCTTGTAGGCCAGTTTGGTCTCTGCAGTAGTCAGGAAGCCTTCCTGATATACTCACTTCAAAGCATCTTCATCACTGTCCTTCAAATATTCTTCCAAAGCCATTTTTTCTTCTTCAGTCATCTGATGTACTTGCAACATTCCACCAATTTGCCTTGGTAGATAGAGTCTGTCTGTGTCACTATTGGATGAAGGGCATGATTCATCATCATCATTTTTCTGGTCTTCCTATCCATTGTTTTTAGTTCTGCTTGAGTCCAGTCCACTATTCCAGCTGTGTATCTAATGACTGGAATTACCCAGATGTTGATTGCCTTGATGGTATTTCATCAATTGAGTTTGGACTTTAAGATCTTAACTCTCTTGATGTATTCAACTCTAATCTTTTTTTTGACTTCAGTATGCTTGATATTTGTAGTAATTATCCTCATCTAGACTCAATGTTATTTTTGTGGGACATCTTGATTCCTTCAGTTTTCACTATCTTTTCTTGTTTGATAGTGAGTGTTGCACATTTGTCCAATCCAAATTCTGTTGCTAAATCTTGGTTATATATATGGAGAGTGTTGAGCAGTGATTCGATTTCAGATGGTGTTTTTCCATATAGCTTCAGATCATCCATATAAAGGAAATGGGATAGTGTGGAGGTCTCCAACCTTGGCAACTTGAGGAACTCTGGGAGTTGAAGTCCACAAGTCTTACAGTTGCCAAGATTGGCGACCCCTGGGATAGTGAATCTCCTTAAAATATTCCTCACTTGAAATTAACTTCTCCTAGTTTCTCATTTTGTCAATTAGTAGTTGATATTTTGTTCCTCTACTATTGGGGCGGTTTCCTTTCTGCTCAAGTGGAAATAGATTGTTTTCACTAGATGCTGTGGGACTGCATCAGCTACCACACCAGTTAGCAATTTGAAAGTTGTGGTAAGCACACAATTGACTTGTGATTGCCTGGACCTTTTGCTGGATCTTTCATATCAGGTGGGTTTTCCCAGATGTTAGCCACTTTTCAATTTTACTTCCTTGTAGTATATTGTTAAACTGTTTGGCAACAAGTGGATATAGACCATGCAGTTCATCTTCACCTGGTGCTGTCTGATTCTTGATCTTTCCTGATCTTTTCTCTACCATTTCTACTATTATTACTAGTTCTTTCATTCCAACTTCTTTTTTATTCTTATCTACCTCTTAACCAATCCTTGTTGTATTTCTTTGGGTTATCCCATATCTGTGCCCAGAACTACACTGTTTCTTCCTTGTCAGGTATTGACTGATTCACTGGAGTATCTCTATTGATGGATTGGTAGAAACATTTCTGATTGGATTGAAATTAGAGATTCTGTCTATAATTTGCAATTTGAGCTTCATATCTGAAATGAAAACAATTGTATATCTCTGCTGGATCCTCTACTGGCAACTCCCTCTGGTTTGCCTCTGCATTCTGAGATACTTTTGGCAAGGCTTTGATTTCTTTGCCCTGGATAAACCTTTGCAGTTCTTCCAATTCTGCTTCTGTGAATACTTTATTTCATATTATAGATCATCATTGATATTTGCTAGCCTTTGTTCTGTTATTTCTGATTCTGGATGTTGTTCTTTCCAGAACTGGTTCATTCGTTTCAAATATCCTCTTCTTGTTGGACTTATCTGTAATAACAGATCATTATTTCTTTGTTTTCAATCACTGTGTATTTGCGACGGGTAAACACCTTTTCTTTCAGTAGTTCTGAAGCTGCTGGCCTTGGTTGCTCAGCCAACAGTCCTGAGTGCTGTAGCCATTTTTCACCAGATATCCAGGAACTCCCAACATCTAGCATGGACCTTCTTAACATCCAAGCCGGAATGGCTTTCTATGCCTCACCGTACTTTTTATGGGAGAGATGCTCTTTGTCGGACTCCTCTACCCTAGCATATCTCATCTTCCTCAGAGCATACTAGCCCCAGAACCACATCAAGTAGTACCTCATTGAGGGGTTGTTGTTGTTGTTGTTATTCACACTGTCACCCAGATGTTTAAATTGGATTTAACATTTTTATCCAGCCAAGATTTAGGGTAGGTAGATGTTGTTCGATGGTGTTATAGGTATTGTAGCAGGATGTAAACTGTTCCAAGTAAAGCTGCCTTTCTCCTCTGAGCTGTTCAGAGCATCCAGTAGTGGGAGGTGTCTTCTTGGATAGACTGGGCTTAATTTGCAGGATGCTCCTCCTCCTCCATGGGACTCCTCCCTAGCGTCCTCCAGTTTTAGTTCAGCCTTTGTTGAGATAGGTAGCTTTCCAGATTGGCCGGAATAGCAGCTAAAACGAAAGAGATTCAAACATCAGGTTTGCCTTTTCACTTATTCAGGGAACCCCTTTGTCATCTAGGAGTCCCAATAGCCTCTGACAGCTTATTAACATTCTGGCCATCGAGGCTAGTAGCACTTCACTAGAGGGATACAATTTCAAGGATCAAATTACCAAATTGAAAGCCCTGCAGCCTCAGACATTTTCCCTCAAAATCGGGCCGGCGGGACTTGTTTCCTCTTTTGGGAAAAAGATCGCAATAGCAGTTTACAATCCACTTATCTCCCAATCGTTAACAGTGCCGTTCCGAACAACGAGCTTGCCTCATGTTTGGCTCTTCAACGGCTGAGGCTCTTCCCCCATTCAACACCAAAGGGGATGGGAAGCATAAGCACTTCCAATTCTTTTCCCGCATAGTTGCTTTACGCTATTTAGAACAGCGATTTAGGCAGGAACCAGCTGCTGGACTCGTAAGGCCACACCAAGCAGCGACAGGCACCATTTTGAGGACCATGTGGTGCCCATTCATAATTAAAACAGAAAACAAATATTACCTGTGAGAGGATTGTTTTTCCCTACTGGGTTCCCCTCGTAGAGACCAGGGGATTGGCTTCCCTACTCCTGAAGCACGGAGCAGCGGACCTGCTTTGTTGGCTAACCCTCACAGAATATAAGTCCAGCAGCTTCACAGCGAGCACCAAGGCTGAAGTTCACCTGTGCAGAGCAGCTTTCGCAGGCCATTGTTAACACAATTCTGGCCTGAAGAGGTGTTGATAATTGGATTTCAATTGATTGGATTGGAGATTAGTTCTACAAATACCAAATTTGAAGGGACATTACAAGAAGTTTAAAAGGATACCCTGCTCCTTTGCGAGCAGGCTCCTAGGTGTGCCAACCACCTTATAATCAAGCCTCATTGACAAATTTATAGTGGAAATGGCAAGCAGCAAAGGCTCAAAGGCCTCTACCTCCAGAACAATGACCAGGGTAACTTGGTCCATCTTCTGTTATCGGTGCGCAAATTCGCACATTGACCCTACTTCTCCATCAGTGGTGCAAGTTTTGGAGTTCCTGCAACATGGCCTGGACAAGGGATTATCCCCTAATACCTTACACAGACAAGTGGCGGCCCTAGCCTTGGTTGTCTCTTGGGGTGATCTCTGCTCAATTTCTCATCACCCACGCATTCGCAGTTTCCTTAGGGGGGCCCCAAACTTACGACCCCAGTGATACATTGATATCCAACCTGGGACCTTAACAGCTCTTACAAAGGGCCTCTTTGAGCCCCTAAGGACTTTGAGTCTCCGCTTCCTAACCTATAAGGTGGTCTTCTTAGTCGCAATAACTTCAGCACAAAGAATTTCCGAACTAGCAGCTTTATCAGTGAGACAGGACCTCTGCATTTTCCATCCAGACAGAGTTGACTTCCGACTAGACCCAACCTTTATACCAAAAGTTAATTCGGCCTTCCATAGGGCACAAGAGTTGGTCCTTCCTAATTTTTGCCCCCCCCATAGGCTTGAACATCATTGGAACCGACTGGATGTAAGGTGAGCATTACGTTCCTACATAAACTGCACTGCAAATTTTAGAAAATCAGAGGCCCTCTTTATTTCATTCCAACCTACCTCTCTAGGACGTAAGATTTCCTCTTCAACAATCGGCAGGTGGTTAAGGGCCACGATTGCGATAGCATACGAGAGACAATCACTGTCGGTTTCCAGGGGCATAACAGCCCACTCTACCAGGAGTACAGCGACTTCGGCAGCACATGGGCCACTCAGGCACCAATACATGAGATCTGTAGGGCAGCAACCTGGGCCTCTCCATCACCCTTCATTAGACATTATAAAATTGACATTTATGCCTCCGCCGAAGCTGTATTTGGTAGGAGAGTTTTAAAAAGTGTCCACAGGGATCAAGGAGGGACTTCTAG